TGTGGCATAACAATGGTTCGCTCGCTTCCGTTCTGGAAATTTCACTGTGAAAGATGCATGAATTGTCTGAGAAAAATTTAATGGACTGAATTAACATCTGCGATTCTTTGCTGAAACGGATTGAAATCGAACCATTTCTGTAGAGAATGATGAGAAGACGAAAAGTGGATGAAATAAGACAATAATGAACAAAATATGTCAKCGTCCAAGCGTGGTGAAGCTCAAYAAATGGTCGCAAAGGCAGGATTGACGCCTCCAAAGGTTATTCTAAGTGGTTGGTGGGGACTGGAAAGGAATCKTCCACTATGAGCTGCTCCAGCCTGGTCGAACGATTGATTCTACAAGCMAGCAARCAATCGAAAYAAATKGCCAGAACTGATATAGAAAGGGCTACGTCTTCCACACACACATCGTTGCTGAATCGGCAAAACTGTAAGAGCTTGGCTGGGAAATTTTGTTGCATACAGCCCTGACCTTTCACCATCGGACTACCATTTGYTGGCTTGGATATTTGGATATTTTTCAAAATTTCATTCGGAGCAGCTTCAATCTTTAAAATTTGCATAGCTTTTGACTTTAGACTTTTATTTACCCCACAGTTAATTTGTCCGCTAAAATCGCTTAAACGCTTCAGCTCGCATAAACACTTCAATCGTAGATACTATGTGTGCCATAAGTAGAATAATACTTGGGTATAAATGTTTACATTTGATAATTAATGTCAGCGYAATCAATTAATAAAATTCCCAGCTTGAGTATGTGAGTGCACCACTTCGCCACATGTAATGCGCTTTGCACAATATTTTCTTCGATTGTCGGCAATAAATTGATAACGTACGCTTAACGGTCACCATCTATAAGGGCTGGAATCTTAACTAGCTGCCGTGGCTGCATGCAGTTAGTTTCGAGATGTTGTTACGACTGTTACCGTTATACGCAGCGTTGTTGCTTGGTTGCCGCAATTGCTTCGCTGCAAGCGTCGTTGATTGGTGGGAATCGGCCACGCTCTATCAAATCTACCCGCGCTCCTTCATGGACAGCGATGGCGATGGTGTGGGCGACTTGAACGGCATCACAACGCGACTGGCGTATCTCAAAGAAATTGGCGTGACAGCCACTTGGCTATCGCCGATATTCGAGTCACCAATGGCCGACTTCGGTTATGACATTTCGAACTTTACAAAGATTGACCCGCTTTTCGGCACTTTGGCCGACTTTGATGCTTTGATAGCTAAGGCGCATGCATTGGGTATTAAAATTATTTTGGATTTTGTGCCCAACCATTCAAGTGATGAATGCGAATGGTTTCAGAAGTCGATACGTAGAGAAAACGGCTATGATGACTTTTATATTTGGGAGGATGGCAAAATTGACGCCGAGACTGGCGAGCGCGTACCACCCAGCAATTGGGTGCGTATGCTATCGCGGAGCTGGTTTTTTTTTCGCTCTAACATATTTTGATTTTGTAGGTAAGTGTATTCAGCGGCCCGATGTGGACTTGGAACGAGCAACGTCAGCAGTATTATCTGCATCAGTTTTTACCGAAACAACCAGATCTCAACTTTAGCAATCCAATGGTGCGTGAGCATATGCTGGAAGTGTTGAAATTTTGGGTTGATCGTGGTGCAGATGGCTTTCGTATAGATGCGGTGCCTCATATTGGCGAAAAGCGTTTCGCGAATGGCACATATCCCAATGAACCGCTAAGCGGCTGGACTGATGATCCTAATAGTTACAATTACCATGAGCACATCTACACGAAGGATCAGCCGCTAACGCTTGAGGTTGTGTACGAATGGCGTGATTTCTTGGATGAATATAAGCGTCAACATGAACGCGACACCATGTGAGTACTATTTTTCAAAACTTTTATGAACTTAAATAAAAAACATGTATGCTCTGCAGCGTGCTCATTGCTGAAGCCTACTCTTCCGTTGACGTCTTGAGTGATTACATCAATAATGGTACCCACTCGGGTACCCAAATACCTATGAATTTTAATATGATGTCACTCAACGGATATTCGACGGCGAAAAATGTTGAAGACTCTGTAAAGAGTTGGATGGATAATATATGGGAAAAGCATCAGTCCGCTAATTGGGTTGTGGGCAATCATGACAACGATCGGCTGGCAACGCGCATGGGTCAGCACAAAGTGGACCTAATGACTATGCTGGTGCACGCACTGCCCGGCACATCGGTCACGTATTATGTAAGTCTTGCCAATCTGATAATTTCAAGTTGGACCTTYATAAATRTAGTTTTCTGTCAGGGTGAAGAAATCGGCATGTCYAATGTGGCCACTGAATGTACCGCCATATCTTGTGATGACCGCGATCCTGAGCGSACGCCAATGCAATGGGACACTACGGATCATGCTGGCTTTACCAAAGGTCCGACCAGCTGGCTGCCGATCTCTCCCGACTACAAAGGTTTCAATGTGGCGACCGAACGTGGCGTGGCACGAAGCACTCTGCAAATATTTAAAGGAATGACGCAATTGAAGCAAACGAACGCCTTTAAAGCTTTCAAAGAAGAGGGTGGATTCGCCTTTGGCGCAGTTTCGGATCAGGTCTTTCAAGTTGTGCGGTAAATATAGCGATTTGGGCGAATTTAGTAGAAWAGTAATACAAAAATTTWCTCACAGAACCGCTTTGGCGGACGAGGAATATCGCATAGTCATTAATATGGGCAACAAGGTAGAATACGTGCACGACTTGGYGAATAARACGATGGAATATGTGCTGCTCAGCCGRCATTCGCCACACAGTTTTGGGTAAATCAGCTGCCAAGTTTGTAATWATCAGCTTTTGAGGCATTCTCTGCTTCTGTCGTTTCAGCGATAAGGTGGATTTGAGTCAGCGTATACACTTGATGCCTTATGAGGCGGTGGTGCTGCGTGGATCCGCCGGCAGCGGTTAGTGTCTGTTACYTCWCACAWAACATAGATATAATTTTCTGGATCTCGGTTGCCGCAAAGGCTGGGCAATATATTTACGAARGGATAAGCCAAAAGTCTTTCTGGAGCTGAAATTATATTTCATGATGTTGATTTATTGTCTGGTATTAGACRTTAATAAAAACCGTAACTTATTGTTCAACTTTTATGGAGATAAGTGGTATAAAARCAAATTCAGTAGTTTTGAAGAAAAATGCTTTGATTTGATGCTATTAATTTTACTACTCTTTGTTTATGGAGTTATTAACTGAGGACTTCTAATGATTTAGTGCTTTAATAATAATTTAATCTATTCGATTCCATAGATATTGTCGGTAAGTACAACTGAAGCATTATTATGCGTGTATATTCCCTCACAGACCCGCATTTTCAGACCAGTAAACACGGAACTGTAATCTTGAGTGCTTTAACACTTACYACCTAAGTACTCGGGCATACAAATTAAGGCACTTTATATTTCCCTAKTAGCGTATTTACTGTGATTTACTTATTGAATGATAAATTAGTAAAGGAAAGAAGAATATTGGAAAACAGTTTGAGTATCAAAAAGTATATTTTTATTTATCAGTCCTAAGTGTAAAACAAAATAACAGCTCATATCTTAAACACGATATATAAATACAAAATATCAGATTTAGGCGATTGTAGCGAGCACAATAGCTTCTTTCGGCATCAATGTAAGGGTGTCTGCATAGACCTTATCCCTGTCAAGTAAATAGTCAAGTTAGAGAAACTCTGAAAAGAAAGCAAGCTGAGAAGTTACGGCTCACCCCTTGCGCCGTATGCTTTTGGCAGTCACCAACACATATTCCAATTCAGACGTGAGCTCATTAAAAGCAGAATTCAAGTTGATCGTCTCCACGTCGTCATGTAGATTCAGCAGAACAACGTAAGTGCGCTCGCCGCTTAAAAAACTGATAACCAAAATAAGTAAGAGAGTAGTGATTAGTTACCGTTTAAGCATRATTTAACATTCTCACTTACCGCTTAATGCCCAACACATTTTCACTGATCGGTTTTATTTCGGCGTCGCCTTCGCGCATTGTCYGCGTTGCACGTAAAAGTTGCAGCTGTTTGTAGATATTCAGGTGGCTGTTGGCAATGCCGCGTTCACGTTTAACATTAACCAGCTTAAAATCCTCTGCCAACGGTAGCCAAGTCTTGTCGCCTTCAGTAAAACCGGCCTTGTGTTCATCATTCCATTGGTATGGCGTGCGCGCAGGGTCGCGGGTGAGACGTTCATACTCGTGGGGGTTCGATTGGCAACCTTGTGGATCTACGGTTTCCTCCCATGAAATCCGGACGTCCGTCATGCCAATCTCCTCGCCTTGGTATGTGACACTAATACCAGGTAGGGTCTTCAGCAATATATTGATCAAGTCAATGCGATCCTTTCCCAGACGTGTTCCAATGCGTGATTGATCATGATTGCCAAGCTAATGAAATGGGTATATKTTGGAATACATATAAATACTAATAATAATGAGAATAATTTAATATAGCTACGCACCACCCAATTGGCCACACCTCCAGCAGGCATATTATCCAACCAGTTGTGTATTAAGTTCGAGTAGTCGTAGGCGGTTGAATCTTTGTTCACATTGCTGATTAACTCAAAATTGAAGGGTATTTGTGCACCATCAGCAGTGCCATTTCCATAATACAACATCAGGGTGTTGATGGGCGCATAAGCTTCGGTCAAGAGCACGTGTTCGTCGCCGCCTAGTTCCTCGTCYAGTTCCTTCAGCACCTCGCGGAATTCATAGACAACATCAAGTGTGCCCGGCTGGTTGGTGGTGTAGATGTGTTGCAGGTATCCRTAGTCTTCGGCATCCTGCACATTGGGATTACGTGGTTCATCGGGCCAATTGCCMTCAGCATCGGCAGCCACTTCATARATATGTGGCACGGCATCAACACGAAAACCGGCAACTCCTTTCCGCACCCAATAACGTAGCACGTTCTATTTGAATAACTTAATTTAATGTTGGGTTATAAATAATCCATACTTGTGATGACTTACCTTCATGGCTTCSCGCACTTTAGGATTGTTGTAATTAAGATCGGGTTGTTTGGCATGGAACTGATGCAGATAGTAGGCCTGACGTTGCTCATTCCACGTCCACATGGACCCGCGAAAAACACTTATCCAGTTCGTTGGTGGCGCAAGCGAATTATTTTTACCTGGATGCCAAATATAGAAGTCGCTGTACTCGGGATCATTTTGTGCTGATTTAATGAACCACTCGCATTCGTCACTCGTGTGATTGGGCACAAAGTCCAAAATGATTTTCAACCCAATCTCTTTAGATTTTGCCAGCAGTGCTTCGAAATCCTCTAATGTGCCGAACATCGGATCGATTTCCGTGAAATTACTCACATCGTAACCAAAGTCGGCCATTGGTGATGTGAAGATGGGCGAAAGCCAAGTTGCATCGACTCCGATCTCTTTCAGATAGGGCAGTTGTTGCAAAATGCCTACGTTTATAACAATATTACGCTTTTCTACTGGCACTACCGTTTCGCTCGGTTACTTACCTTTTATATCGCCAATGCCATCACCGTCGCTGTCTTTGAATGAGCGCGGATATATTTGGTAGAACGATGCACTCTTCCACCACGCCTTGTTTGCGTCTGCACCTGTGGCGGTGGTTATTACCGTTAGGATTGCTAAAAATTTAAAAAAAATCCWCATGGTTTGCTCAATTACTTTCACGTATTAACCTGTGGTCCGAAGCGCTGTATTCGCGCATTTATATAGCGGATCCAAACGGCATTATCGGCTACCGATAAAGGGTAATATAGTACCACAAGTAAATCCGACATAATTTATAGCTGGTCTAAAGTCTATAAAGTTTATGTTTGTGCTTTGGTGGTCCCGGTCTTTTGGCTCTGTGGGAGGTGCATGTTTTGCCGAAAATAATATCACTTTCGTAATTGTCGTCTTTTTAAGTGGTTGCGATAACACAAACACCGGAATGCGTCGCTATTTTTCATGCAAATATCTGATAAGGGTGTCAAGTGGCCAGATTGTCGATTATTAGCAATTTGTTTGTCTTAAACGAACTAGAAAGCTCATATATTGTGGTCATATAAGTTTATATACTTGCTTATCTTCGTGGGTGTTATTATGGCTTAGCATACAGTTGCTAAAACTTTAATTGCTCAAAATAAATATTATATACTGTCTCTCCGATAACTTGTGTAAAATTAAAGTAACACTGTCGAAACCTGTCCACAATTTCCGTGTCATTCTAACTAATTAGCGAATTCATTGGAAACAACCAAAATAGCACTTAGACTCCGTAAAATATTGTACATCTGTCTCTTATACACATCTAGATGTGTATAAGAGACAGACAATGCCACGATCCACAAGGAAACTCTTACTAAACGGTTTTTGGAGTCAAGAAACATTCCGCTTTTTGGAATGAGCAGAAAAAAGTCCAGATTTAAAACCTCTCAAGGATCTGTGTGGAATATTACCTGCTAGAGTTTTTAGAAATAGACGCCAGTTTACTACGGCCTAAGAGTTAAAAATGGCATTACAGAGAGAATGGGCTTCAATTGTTATGTCAGTGCTAAAATCTTTGGCTGTATCGATGCCATCTCGACTTAACCAAGTCAAAATTAATTAAGGAAAGCATATTAATTATTAACAAACTTAATTCATCAAGATRTTTGCACAGTGCTGGAAATAATAATAATAAAATATTTAAAGAAAACTTACATATTTTTTCACATTCCCATATAAATACTTTCTATAAAGCATTTGTTTAGTTTTTAATTTTCTTTTATGTACTCAACGAATCTTTATCTATTTTTGTTATTGGGCGCTACTGCCATCGAAACAGTTGATTGGTRGGTAGCCGCCACACTTTATCAGATTTATCCGCGTTCCTTTAAGGACAGCGATGCGATGAAACAGGCGATTTGAATGGCATTACCTCACGGCAGTCATATGTGAAGGAAATTGGTGCAACAGCAACTTGRATTACACCTACTTATGATTCACCAATGGCTGATATGGACTATGACGTCGTAAATTTAACTAAAATTTCTTCACTTTACGGCACAATGGAGGATTTCGATAATTTGTTGGCTAAGGCACATGAATTGGGCTTGAAGGTGATCTTAGATTTCGTGCCAAATCATTCCAGCKATGAGTGTGAGTGGTTTCAGAAATCGGTTMGTCGTGAAGATGGCTACGAATGTGAGGTTTGATGGMAAAATTAACCCAGAGACGGGCGAGCTTCTCCACCAAGCAATAGGGTTAGTATGCTGTGAATCTATGAATACYTTATGCTTACACTTATTTACTTTAATATTTTATAGGTTGCAGTTTTCGGTGGATCTGAGTGGACCTGGATTGAAGAGCGCCAACAGTACTATTTGCATCAGTTTCTCGCGAAGCTAGTGGCTTTTAACTTCACTAATCCCGCGGAGCGTGAACATATGAAGGAAGTGATGAAATTTTGGCTCAATCGAGGTGTAGACGGTTTTCGCATGGACGCCACGAACTATTTAGTTGAAAAGCGTTTCGATAATGGTTGGCATCTACATAATGGATCAATGGCGAAGTACAGAAATTATATACGAGTAGCACACATTTCTAGACGAATATCAGAGKCTTAATGGTGGAGATACAATGTCAGACTTGCATTCATTGAAGTATAAAATTTTAACACTGTTCACTATTTAGAGCTATGGTTATCGAGACGTATTCTCCTGTGGACGTTCTGAGTAATTATATCTCTAATCACACCAATGTCGGGGGTCAGATGCCAATGAATTTTAATTTTGTGGAACTTGACGAAGACTCCAATACGGGAACCATTGAAACTCAAGCTAATGACTCGATGGATGTCATTTGGGTCAAACACAAAATGGCCAATTGGGTAGTAAACAATCATGACAGCAGTCGCTTACCAACWCGTATGGGTGAGAGCAAAGCGGATGCGATGACTATGATAATACATGGACTACCCGGTACATCGGTTACTTATTACGTAAGAGGCTATTAAGTATGATCCTCTATAATCTTGTGTTGAAAATTAAATATTTTAAGGGCGAAGAGATCGGAATGCCTGATGGAGAAATCGATTGCGCCGACGACTCTTGCGACTTTCGTGATCCAGAACGCACACCGATGCAGTGGAACGGAGCGAAAAATGCCGGTTTCAGCTCAGGAAACTCAACTTGGCTGCCTGTCAATCCCAACTACATTTTCAACAATTCACGTGACTCCATGGAAAACACAAACTACCAAGCAAACTCGTTGTTTAATTTTATGTATTGTCAGACAAATCTTTCGCGTCGTAAACAAACAACTGTCAAATACGAAAGACAGACACCAGGTACTTGAAAATTCTGATATTAGTTATATGAAGACTTCATCTTCTTCGCCCAATTTTATCGCCTTTTACTTTGGATACACTGTTTTTAACTAAAAAATGCTGTATCCATTTTATTAAGATAACTCACATGTTGGCCCATTTAGCGGTATTAAGTCACCCGGAAGTTCGAAGATCTTTAGGTTTATGTATACCCACGATACACAGATATACTATTGTCACGAGAGGATTTTCTGTGAATTTTAATTGTATATCCCATACAATGACTGAATTTATAGGTCAAAAGTTAGTTATATATACTGGGATCCACATATTCGATACTTAGAAACTGGACCAGTTTTGGTCCATTTTCATACTGTCGGTAGAATTATTTGCGCCGGTTTGGTTATTGTAGCTCTTTTGGTTTAGAAGATATCTACATTAAACCTATAAGAGAGCGGGGCCRYGGCCACTTTTTCAAAATTTTTACCAYTTTCTCAAATTAAAGTTTTATATATAATTTTTCATTAATGGTGGTCAACTCATCAGGTGATGAGTCGAGAATTTATACGTTTGTGCCCGAAAGTAAAAGTCGAAACCAAAAAAAAGAAGATAGTTGCCTGCTTTTTTTCAAAAAACTGGAAATGTCGCAAACCAAAACATTAGAACAATACACAGCAGTAAAAAGAGGTACAGAACCATTTACTTGACAGCTGTCTCTCATTAAATCAGGAAAATCAACCACCAAAGACGCATCACTCTTCCCCATGATAATGCAAGCTCTCACTCAATGACTGAAACAACTCCATTTAAGACACTGAGTACTTAAAGCATCGACTTGATGGGAAAAACACGGTAAAGATCGGACTTAACAACTAAAATAAACTAAGATTTCAACGTTCGGCGACATCTGAAGAGGCGGTTGATTCATTCGGAATGCATGATACCTCAATCAGAGTGACAAGAGTGCTTCGACAATCGGTTAAAACACATGCAAAATGTATGGATTTTAATTGAGAATATTTTGAAAAACAATTCAGCACTTTTCGATGACTAATCTTTGTTTTAGTTATCTAATATAAAAGGTAACCTACGTATTGCGTATTTGTATGGACCTGATAAAAGCAAAAGCAATATAAATTGCATATTTCCAAACATAACTTACCTATCTTAAAAATCAATGAAGTATACACGCACTCGTATATACCTTGATTTATATATATTCCGTGGTTTATCGTTCGTTGGTCCTAATCAGGTAATTATGCAAAAAATGCAACAAATACTAGTACACATTATTCGTTTATCAGAATTATATTGCAGTGCTCATCCATGAACGGAAGGCCCACACTGACCATATTGACTGTTTGATAAGACCTTGCGAGTAATTTGATTTTCAACATCAAATAGCCGCTAATTCCTCCGACAGTACGGTAGTATTTATCGATATGTCATCGTGTTTAGTACGGTTATTAGCGGCTCTGCTTTTTTGCGCTGTGGGCGCTACTGCCACCGACACAGTTGATTGATGGGAGGCCGCAACACTTTATCAGATTTACCCGCGTTCCTTTATGGACAGCGTTGGCGATGGCATCACCTCAAGGTTGGCGTTTCTCAAGGAAATTGGTGTAACAGTAACTTGAATTTCTCCCATATATGACTTACCGATGGCTGATATGGGCTATGACGCCGCGAATTTAACGAAAATTTATCCGGTTTTCGGTACACTGGAGGATTTTGATAATATGTTGGCTAAGGCGTACGAATTGGATTTGAAAGTAATTTTAGACTTTGTATCTAACCATTCGAGTGACGAGTGTGAGTTGTTCCAGAAGTCGATACGTCGTGAAGACGGCWTTGACGATTTCTATATTTAGGAACCAAGCCATTGTGTTAGTATGCTGTGATTATGAGATAATATCTTATCCTTTTACTCACTACACTATTTTTTAGAAGTCGGTTTTCGGTGATTCTGCATGGACCTGGGTTGAAGAGCGCCAACAGTATTATTTGCATCAGTTTCTCGCGCAGCAAGTGGATTTGAATTACGCTAGTCCCAAGGTGCACGAGCATATGATGAAAGTGGTGGATTTTTTGAATTGAAAACGGCTGACTTTGAAGCGTTCAAGGAAGAGGGCGGTTTTTCTTATGGCGCTCTATCAAAGCAGGTTTTCCAAGTCGAAAGATGAGTTTATACAATTGATGTATTTCTCAAGTGACTTAAGTGTTTATGAACTAATAGTACTTTTAATAGTAAACTAGAGTATAAATAAATAAATATTTAGTCATGCCAAAAATGCGATTTCTACCATTTAAAAGTGGCCATGGGTATTTCATGAAACACTTGTAGATTTCGTACATCGCGTGTTCCCCTATGCTGCTCTGTTTGCTAAATCTCATACCCAATCTGCCTTCGTAGTTGGCAACTGCATTACTCTTCATCACGGCGTGCTAAGCATAATGTGCTTAAGCCACCCTCAATATTCTGTCACTGTACAGATATGTAATAAACGTTTTTACTCGATATTGATACTTACGAATGTTGTGAAACGAGGTCATTGCCGGAAGCTGATTATCARCTGAACTTGTGCTGAGATTGCCACAGCTGACTGATGGTGTAGGAAATAAAACCGTGAARCCGTACAAGAAGTATATACCTATACATACATATGCACATAAAAGCGATCGGCAGAAAGCCTACAGTAGTCCATTGGTAAAGTAAATGGAAATGATTGCACTATAAATAAAAGCATAATGAAGAGAGAAGTTRTAAATTATTGCGGAYGCTCTCTGCGTTTGTTGGTTGGGGYAACTATCYACCCCCCTTTCAACTGGTACGTTGGAAACAACTAAAAGTCTGTTATTGGTAGGTTAGAATCAGCTGCCGCCCATCTTTAGGTGAAATCCTATACTACAGGAACTAGTCGACCAATTACACTTTGTTGCATTACACTGTCCTTACATTCCTTTTTTAGAGTATTTTATTGAGTGACATCGGGCTAAAATACAATCTTAATGAGTTTGCGGTATAAAAATCATGCACCAATGAGCTTGTCGCCCTGTATGATATGCCAGCTTGTCTCTACAAATTAATGAAATGGAACCTTAATATTTCAAGGCATCACTTACCAAAAATACCGTGCTATCTGCGATTGTTCAAATTGTGGCTTAGCGCTGAATATGAATAAAAATGATCTAGACCTTGCTCTACATTCCATATATCTAATGTTATATGTTCCAACAAAATGACTGGCTATTTTAAGATGCTTTAATTAGCTTCACTTGTGTGTTTGTGCGATTGTTACTCTTTTCAATGGCAAATGGCAAAACGATGTGTGAATTGGTTTGTTTTGTTCTAGAAATAAGTGTAAATTATCATGACTTTCTTTAATAAATATTTTGGTGACTTTAGGCGGCAGCGATCTGTATGGTAGAGTTGGGATTGTCATTTCTACAACGAACTACCCTTCGCAGCTGCATTCGAAGTAAACAACGCGTAGACTTTGCCAAGTTTTATTGATCTTGGACAGCAAATCAATGACAATATGTTGTTTGGAGCGATGTAACCAAAATTAATCGCATAGACCCTGCTGGTCGCCGACCAATCTATCAAGAATTTGATACGCGCTATGTTTCAGACGTAAGCACGTGGTGTGGGAATTTTTCCCTGGAATGTTGTACGTTCGTTCCATAAGATTGATGTAATTTTACAAAAGCAGAAATACGTTGACATTCTAAACAATTCCATTCTGTTATGAACTAAGGAGGAATTTGCCTGTTGTATGGAAATTCCAACAAAAAACAATCCAAAGCATACGGGAAAGTTGACACAAAAGTTTTTTGTTGAAAATACCATGAATGGTTTGGAGTGGCCTGAAGAGAACGCATCTCAGTTGTTGTCAAAAAAGTTGCAGGTWCCAAAAATATCACAAATATGGATGCCCTTTTTGATGAAATTAGGACGGCATGGCAAGCAACACTCGTGCTGCGCTATCAGAGTCTTATAACGATGTGATGCAGAATTAAAGTRAAAGGGTTAAGTAACAAAATATTAACTGAAAGTAAGCAAYTTTTTTTAATAACAGTATTTTTTGTTTATAAAACATGTTCGTTTCTAAATAGCTTTCGCACACATATTTGTTAAAATCTTCGAAAAAAAAACAAAAAAAAACAGGATTTTAAATTAAAATTTTTACTATTAGATTTAAGTTTAACGTAAGTTTCCACAACAAGAGTTAAAAAACAGTAAAAATAAGTGATTTATCGGAAAATAACATCATTTACATCTAAATCTGTGTCGTYTCTAATTAGCTGTCAACAGCTGCATGTACAGGTATGTAACTTACCAATGCGTTATCTACATCGTGCGTTATTTAGTACAAGGCGGAAAGTCACCCAAACACCAGTACACATGTTCCATTTATCTCATACGTGAATTTATGATCAGCGTTGGCAATCCAACGTACGAAAGGTCCTCACTGATGATTTCGACTGTTTGATACGATTTTTGAGTCATTGTGTTTTCAATAACGAAACAGCAAGAACTTTTATCTCCAACTATCTACCTCTATAAATACCGGTAGTTCCTCAGACTGTACGGTAGTATTTATCGATATGTCGTCTTGCTTATTATGGTACCTAGCGGCACTGCTGCTTTGCGCCTTTGGCGATACTGCCATCGAAACAGTTGATTGGTGGGAGTCCGCCACCCTATATCAGATTTATCCGCGTTCCTTTATGGACAGCGATGGCGATGGTATAGGCGATTTGAATGGCATCACCTCACGTCTGGCGTTTTTTAAGGAAATTGGTGTAACAGCAACCTGGATTTCGCCCATATATGATTCACCGATGGCTGATATGGGCTATGACGTCGCGAATTTTACGAAAATTTCTTCAATTTTCGGCACAATGGAGGATTTCGATAATTTYTTGGCTAAGGCGCATGAATTGGGCTTGAAGGTGATCCTAGATTTCGTGCCAAATCATTCAAGCGATGACTGTGAGTGGTTTCAGAAATCGGTTCGTCGCGAAGATGGCTATGATGATTGGTATGTGTGGTCTGATGGCCAAATTAATTCAGAGACGGGCGAGCGTTCACCCCCAAGCAATTGGGTTAGTCTATAAATACCTTATGCTTATGCTTATACCTATTTATTTTAATATTTTATAGGAGTCAGTTTTCGGTGGATCTGCGTGGACCTGGGTTGAAGAGCGCCAACAGTATTATTTGCATCAGTTTCTCGCGAAGCAAGTGGATTTTAACTTCACTAATCCCGCGGTGCGTCAGCGTATGATAAAAGTGATGAAATTTTGGCTCGATCGAGGTGTAGAYGGTTTTCGCATGGATGCCACGAACTATTTGGTTGAAAAACGTTTCGAAAATGGTACATTTCCAGATGAACCCCCCAGCGGTGATAATRCAACTGGCCTCAACCACATCTATACCAGGGAGCTATGGGAAAATACAGAAATTATATACGAGTGGCGCGAATTTCTAGACGAATATCAGAGAATTAATGGTGGAGATACAAGGTGAGACCWGCATCTTTTACAATATACAAATTTAACAACAAAACTTTCCAMCTTTAAGAGCTATGATTATCGAGGCGTATTCTCCTGTTGACGTTCTGAGTAATTAGATTTCTAATGGCACCAATGTCGGTGGTCAGATGCCAATGAATTTTAATTTTGTGGAACTTGACGAAGACTCCAATGCGGAGACCATTGAAACTCWAGCTAATGACTGGATGGATATCATTTGGGTCAAACACAAAATGGCCAATTGGGTGGCAAACAATCATGACAACAGTCGCTTACCAACACGTATGGGTGAGAGCAAAGCGGATGCGATGACTATGATAATACATGGACTACCCGGTACATCGGTTACTTATTACGTAAGAGGCTATTAAGTATGMTCCTCTATAATCTTGTGTTGAAAATTAAATATTTTAAGGGCGAAGAGATCGGAATGCCTGATGGAGAAACCGATTGCGCCGACGACTCTTGCGACTTTCGTGATCCAGAACGCACACCGATGCAGTGGAACGGATCGAAAAATGCCGGCTTCAGCACAGGAAACTCAACTTGGTTGCCCGTCAATCCCAATTACAAATACTTAAATGTACAAGTTCAACGAGGAGTGGCGCGTAGCAGCTTGCAGATATTCAAGGGTATGACGGCGCTGAAGAAAACGGCTGCCTTTAAGGCGTTCAAGGAAGAGGGCGGTTTTTCTTATGGCGCTCTGTCAAAGCAGGTTTTCCAGATTGTGAGGTGAGTTGATACAAATGTGGTATTTCCTAAGTGCACTTTTATGGTGCATTCTTTTCCAGAACCGCGGTCAAGCGTGAGGAATATCGTGTGCTTGCCAATTTAGGCAACCAACTTGAATATTTCGATGGTTTGGCTAACAAAACAATGGAGTACGTTTTGCTTAACTCTTATTCACCACACAGATACGGGTAAGWGCCGTTTGGTAAAAACGTTTATTTTTCATTTCAATGTGATTATTTTTCTTGCAGTGACAAGATTGATTTAAGCGGAAAAATGTATTTAATGCCTTATGAGGCGGTTGTCCTACGCTGGACGGCATAAGCGATTTGCCTGTAAATTTACATACCATTAAGTGTTTATGAACTAGTAGTACTTTTAATAATGATCTAGAGTATAAATAAATAAATATAGAGTCATGCAAAAAATTGCGATTTATACCATTTAAAAGTGGCCATGGGTATTTGATGAAACACTCATAGATTTCGTACCCAATTTGTCTTAGTCTTAGTGATTGGCAACTGCATTACCCTTTATCACGCCTTGAGTTTTTCTCCTCATTAGCATTATGAGCCTAAAACACCCTCAATATTTCGTCACTGTAAAGATATGTAATAAACTTTTCTACTCGATACAGATATTTACGTTTGTTTTGGAACGAGGACATTGCCAGAAGCCGATTATCAGCTGCACTTGTGCTGACTGACGGTATAGGTAATGAAACCGTGAAGCCGTAGAAGAAGTGATCGTTCGCGTTATCGACGCAGACACTTTACGATAACAATTAACTATTAAAAGGATATGACTAGCCCAGTGTAGGGCTTTATTGAAATTTTAAATTGCTTCATTTAGTTTGATTTTCTCCGGTGTCTCTGAGACGTAGTCCATCTTCCGACATCAGTTCAGCTTTATCTGGATGAGTAGAAGCGTTGTCGATTAGAAGAATACCTTTAATCGGCAAGTTTATCTGCCTTAAAATGGTTTCAGCTTAAAATCAGGAATATTACAGAAAAAGTTTGACAAAATTCTATAGGAACTTGTACCTGCAGAATGAATGATTCATGTCTATTCTTGACAACACTGAAATTTTTTTGAACTTCGTGAAACCTTTGCCTTTCCAATGGTCAAGCTTTTGAATTTATGAGTTGCAGTGGCGTTTGAACAACACAAAAATGTGATTCGCCGCTTTTCTGACTTTACGCCTTGGGCTATTTTTTCCAAACTGAAGACAAACTATACGCTTTTTTCCAATCATTKAAAGAAAATCAGTCCTATTACTTTCCGGACAAACCCTATATGTATGTATATCAATCAAGTGATTATCACTTATCAGTAAAAAAAATGTGCGCCCACTGTTCTATACGTACATATGTACATACATATGTGTGTATGACATTGCCGAACAAATAATCAACAAGGCAGCCAAATAGATAAAACCAAATTTTTAGTAAGACACACAACAACAACATTTTCATTCATGATCGCAAGCGCACTTTCCACAGGCAAACTCGCTTCATTCATACAAGCAAACATCTTTAAACTTAAAACAGATTTTAAGTTCTATGGTTAATCGTGGGTTATTGGGTATCAGGCGAAAACCCCACGGTATTTATCTCATAGGTGAATTGGTGATCAGCGCTAGCAATCCAATTTACGGAAGGCCCAGACGGACCACATCGAGTGTTTGATAAGATTTTGCGAGTAATTTGTTTTGGATATTGGAATAGTAAGAACTTTTTTCTCCAACTCTCTGGCGGTATAAATAGTCGCTAGTTTCTCAGACTGCACCGTAGTATTTTTCGATATGTCGTCTTGTTTATTTCGGTTTATAGCGGCTATACTTTTTTACGCTGCGATGCTGATTTGAATCGCATTACCTCACGGCTGTCATATCTGAAGGAAGTTGGAGCAACAGCATCCTGGATTTCGCCCATATATGATTCACCGATGGTAGATATGGKCTATGACATTGCGAACTTCACGAAAATTTATCCGGTTTTCGGTACCATGGAGGATTTCAATGCTTTTTTGGCAAAATGGACCCAGGGATGGGCGAACGTTCACCCCYAAACAAATGGATTAGTATGTTGTGTATCTATTAATACCTTTTGCTCAGACTTATTTAAAATAATATTTTGTAGAGGGCTGCTTTCTATGGTTCGGCATGGACCTGGGTTGAAGGACRATAGTACTGCTATCTGCACCAGTTTCTTGCAAATGAAACTGACTTAAACTGCTTTAATCCCGTTGTGCGTGAGCGTATGAAGGAAAWGATGAAATTTTGGCTCGATCGCGGTGTAGATGGCTTTCGCATGGACGCCACGAACTTTTTAGTTGAAAAACGTTTCGAAAATGGCACATATCCAGATGAACCGGTTAGTACAAATACTTAATAGTGGCGATTCAAGGTAGGCCTGAATCCCTTAATATATATAACTCTTTATTAATAAAATTGTTTGCCTTTCAGAGCTATGATTATTGAAGGATATTCCGATGTCGACGTTGTGAGTAACTATATCTCTAATGGCACCCATCTCGGTGAACAGTTGCCAATGAATTTTAATTTTGCGAAACTGAACGAAAACTCCACAGCGGAGACCGGAGCCGAAATGGCCAATTGGGTGGCAAACAATCATGACTACAGTCGCTTACCAACACGTATGGGTGAGAGCAAAACGGATGCGATGACTATGATAATACATGGACTACCCGGTACATCGATTACTTATTACGTAAGTGGCTATTTGGCTATGATCTTCTATAATCTTATGTTGAAAATCAAATATTTTAAGGATGAAGAGATCGGAATTTCTGATGGAGAAATCGATTGCGCCGGCGACTCTTGCGACTTTCGTCATCCAGAGCGCACATCGATGAAATAAACGGATCGAAAAACACCTGTTTTAGCACAGGAAACTCATGGCGGAGTGGCGCGTAGCAGCTTGTAGATATTCAAGGGCATGATTACGTTGAAGAAAACGGCTGCCTTTAAGGCGTTCAAGGAGGAAGGCGGATTGTCTTATAGTGCTCTGTCAAAGCAAGTTTTCCAAGTTATATGGTGTGYTGATTAAATAAGCTATTTCCCATGTGCACTTTTATGGTGCATTCTTTTCATACAACCGTGGTTGATCAGGAGGAATATCGTGTGTTTGCCAATTTGGGCAACCAAATGGAATATTTCAATGCTTTGGTCTAGAGTACAAACAATTAAACACTCAGCTATATCAACAATAAATAAGTGACGAAACATARGTAGACTGCGAACCGGTAGCCGAAAAGTCATCGCGAGATCTCTTCCGAAATTGCCTGCAATCACAGTTCTCTCTGCTTTCGCAATCTCACCGCTAGTCTGTTTTCGTATTTGKCGACTCCGAATACTCTTTATTACGTCGTGCAGTGTCTACTCTTAAGCACTACGTGCTTGGGCGCAGTCACCACTGAGTCACTGCGCAACTCAAAGAGTAAACTCTTTTACTCGATACAGATATTTACGGCATTGCCAGAAGCTGATTATCAGCTGAACTTGTGCTGAGATTGCCACAGCTGACTGGTRTTATAGGAAACAAACCGTGAAGCCGTACAAGAACAGATCGTTTGCATTGTCAATACAGTCACTTTACAATAACAAAGCAATTAAGGGGGTWTACAAACATACAACGGATACAGATAAGAATGTAAGACCAAAGCTAGATCGGTCGTTATATTTTTATTTGCCAATAAGCGATCAACGAAGGGTCTACTAGTAAAGGAAATATAAATGATTAAGCTATAAATAAAGCATCATGAAGAGAGGGCGCGCTATCTGATATTGGTTACAAAGAGTTATGTGAGCGCAATCAAGAGATGGGAGAGAATGTAGCACCTATCGTCGCTCGCGTCTTTTAATTTAACTAGCTGAACTGAACAATTACTAATGCCGTTGCATCAGTTCGCTTTGAGTATTCGTCCGCGCACTTTTAAAGTGAGTGCGGTTCTTATGACTCTTTGCTTATGAGTCTTCTAATAAAAAGAACTGCAGTTAATGTTTGATTTGGAGCTGGAAGGCAATTGCAATACGAAAAAGCAGAGACTGAATGCTAAGGCAAAACGATGATTAGGCGTCTATTGTTATATCTATTAGTGTCGGTCTGTAGTGGTGTCACCATTGTGAGCGCTGGCGGCTTTCCAAATTATCATGCGCATTTTGATTTTATCGCGTGGGATAAGCATAGCGCGGCGGCGAAGGTGAATGCTTCGCAAAAGTGGTGGCAATCGGCGGCGTTCTATCAAATCTACCCAAGGTCATTTAAAGACAGCAACGGCGACGGGGTGGGTGATCTGAAGGGTGAGTCCATGTATTGAAAATTTTATTAAAAAAAAAAAAATGCGCAAAACTTGGAAATAAATAATATGGAAAATACTATAACTTGCAGGCATTGCAGAGCAGCTACCCTATCTTAAAGAGATCGGTATTGCAGCAACATGGATATCGCCTATTTACAAATCGCCAATGGCGGATTTTGGTTATGATGTCGCCAATTTTACCGACATTGATCCGATATTCGGTACACTCGACGATTTTGATGCGTTGATCGCCAAATCACGTGAAGTTGGTGTGAAAGTAATATTGGACTTCGTGCCGAATCACTCCAGCGATGAACATGAATGGTTCAAAAGATCGGCCGCGGGCGACAATGACTTCAAAGACTTTTACGTCTGGCATCCGGGGCGTGTGGTAAATGGCACGCGTCTGCCGCCAACRAATTGGATGAGTGTATTTCGTGGCTCCGCTTGGCAGTGGCATGAGACACGCAAAGAGTACTATCTGCATCAATTTCTGAGTAAGCAGCCGGACTTGAATTATCGCAATCCGAAAGTGCGCGCTGCCATGAATGTGAGTGATGTACTTTATCGTATTCTTTCTTGTTTTTAACATTATACTCTGTCTCGCGGTTGCTAATAGGACGTGCTGCGGTTTTGGTTACGACGGGGCGTCGCCGGCTTTCGCATCGATGCGGTGCCGTTCGCATTTGAAGTAGCGGCCGATGCAAATGGCAATTGGCCAGATGAGCCACGCAATGACTGGGTTGTCGATCCGGATGACTACAATTATGTTAAACACRTCTATACCGTTGATCAGCCGGAGACATTGAACTTGGTATATGAATGGCGTCGGGTTTTGGACGAATTYCAGAAAGYGAATGGTGGCGACGAACGTGTCATGCTAACCGAAGCATATTCACCAATCGACGTAGTGGTAAAGTATTATGGTAACGACACAGCAGAGGGTGCGCAGATGCCGTTTAATTTTCTCATGATCAGCTGGCTGTCAAATGACTCCGATGCCTACCACTTTGCGGAGACTGTAAATACTTGGTTAAAGAACATGCCAACAGGACGTACAGCCAATTGGGTGGTAAGCTGCTGAGTACACTTGATAAACTGAAAATACCTTCATTAATTGACGCTACTCATTTCCAGATTGGCAATCATGACCAAAATCGCGTTGGCTCTCGTCTCGGCGCCGATCGTATTGACATGTTGAACATGCTGACGAATATTCTGCCTGGTGTTAGCATCTCATATTATGGCGAAGAGATCGGCATGTCTGACGTATGGATCTCGTGGAATGATACTGTGGATCCCTCAGCTTGTCACACCAATCCGGATATCTATGAAAGGTTCTCGCGTGATCCCGAACGCACACCCTTCCAATGGAATGATGCACAGAATGCCGGTTTCAGCACAGCTAAAAAGACTTGGCTGCCCGTCGCTGATGACTACAAAACAGTGAACGTCTTACGCGAACGCAACGATKCGCTGAGCCATTTGAATATCTACAAACAATTGCACGCTCTGCGAAACGAATCGACATTGCGTTACGGTAGTGTTGAGGTAAAGGCCGTGACACAAAATGTTTTGGCCGTCAARCGGTGAGTTCTTGTGATATTGAATAAATATAAAAATTGGTTTAAAGCTTATATTTCTCCCCGATAGCATGCTCCTCAACGATTACACATACGTTTTGCTAATGAATCTTTATGATTCCACGGAGGAAGTGGATTTGAAGCGCGCATTCGATAATATACCGGATGAGTTTGAATATGTCATTGTTACCAAGAAAAGTAAAGCGAAGCGGGGGTAAATATTGAAGAGCGCGACRTTTACGAAATATTATTGATACAACCCTAACTGTTTTGGTTTTTCAGCGACACACTAAAATCGACGGGCATTCAAATATTACCGAAGGAAGCCGTTGTCTTGCGTTCTGCCACCAAATTGACTACTACAGTGGGTTATTTTGCATATTACATGCCAAAAACTGAGAAAAATTAGAGCAGCGAGCTATTTGTTAAAAGTCTGAAATACTAATATTAGTTAACAATGTTTTCGTACTGAAGAGCTTTAAATTTTTGTATCTCATTAAAAATGTTGTTAGTGTGACATATATGTACGTTTAGTTCACAAATGTTATGCAATATTAAGAGTAAATAAAGTAAGTTTCTTGAATTTCTGATAAAAGCGCCCCCTTACGTAGACACCTATTTATTAAAAAGTTATCTCGAGTATTTGTTTCTAAAASAGACAGCTACGTACTAAATTCCACTCGAACCACCGCCAGGGGTCACTTGAGACYTGTTGGTGTGCAGTCAAGCCTTTTGTTCTAAATGAATTTGCAATAAACAACTACTGTTTATCAGCTACTTAAGTTAGTTTGAAAAATTTCCAACACTGCAACACAACAATGATGCGATATGAATCTGAAAGCACTTAAAACTGATACGAGAACCGCCCACCAACGGATGTTGCATTCGTCAGTCGAATGCTTTAAATAAGCGGTTGCGACACCAATTTCAGACAGTATCTTTTCAATCGTACCCCGGGTTGTTGCCAGCGTGCTTCCTTTCGAAAATGCGAAAAATAATTTCGCTAGTTTTGCTTCTGGCATTTAACCAACAGTCTTCTTTAGCCTGCGATGGCACGACTAGGCAGTCTAGTGGRGACTCCCGTGAGTGGTGGCAATCGGCACAGTTCTACCAAATCTACCCGCGCTCCTTTATGGACTCCAATGGCGATGGTATTGGCGACCTTGCTGGTATCACTTCGCGTTTAAACTATTTGAAGGATTTGAACGTTACTGCCGTTTGGCTATCGCCCATCTACACTTCACCMATGGCGGATTTTGGCTACGATATYGCTGATTTTTTCGATATACAACCTGAGTATGGTACATTGAATGACTTCGACAACCTGGTGCAGGAAGCTAATAAACTTGGACTGAAAGTGATTTTGGATTTCGTGCCGAATCACTCGAGTGATGAGAACGAATGGTTTAAGAAGTCCGTGCGCCGCGAACGTGGCTACGAAGACTACTATGTGTGGCACGATGGCTATAAAAATGAAAGCGGTGCGCGTGTACCGCCGAGTAATTGGGTGAGGCTTCCGTYGTTGACAAAATCACAGCCAATTAATATAAATTGTATTAAAATATTCAATATTGCCGTTGTAGCTCCAAGCTTTCCGTGGTTCCGCCTGGGAATGGAACGATGAACGTCAACAATACTACCTCCATCAATTTGCGGTCAAACAACCCGACTTGAACTACCGGAACCCCGCCGTAGTCGCGCAAATGAAGCGTGTTCTTACTTATTGGCTGGATCGTGGTGTCGCTGGTTTCCGTGTTGATGCTGTRCCTTGGTGCTTCGAGGTACTGCCGGACGAGACTGGCCGCTACCCTGATGAGCCGAAGAGTGGCTATACCGATGATCCTGATGATTCCAGCTACCTRTTGCATATATATACTCAAGATCTACCGGAAACCGTAGATATGGTTTATCAATGGCGCAAGCTGCTGGATGATTATCAACGCATTCATGGCGGGGATAGGCGGGTGCTGCTCACC